GTGCCACAGCACCAGCCCCAGGATGGTAAAGTTTACGATACATTTTTTTTAACCATACACAAAACTGGAGAAGAGCTAGTTAAAAAAAAATTAGCAGGGGTTGGAGAGCCGGCAGGATGTTCCCATCATGGGGCAGGCAGAGCTGGGCCCTGAAGCAAAGCGAGGGCGTGGGTCTGGAGAGACTGAGACAGGTGAGTTACTGTCCCACCCTGCACTCCCCTGCCCTGCCAGGCAGCCCTGCCGGGGATCACGATCCCACCCCGTTTGACCTGGGATTTGCTTTGGCCCCTAGGGAATCTGTGAACATGACTGGAGAAGGCCTGACGTGTGCTGGCATCCATGCGCCCCTATGTCGGGGTCCAGAAAGCAGTCTCCAGGAGCTGGCCACATAAGCCATGGGAAGCCAGCAGCCCAAGGAGGAGAGACGTGGAGAACAGACGTGAACTACCGCCCAGCCTTGGAGCTGTGGCTCTGGGCGGGATCAGCCAAGGCAGAGCCGCGACCGCCGACTGCCACTGGGGAGCACAATCGTTTTATGACCGCATTTAGCAGCCCGCTCGATGACCTCAGTCGTCACTCGGCTGACAGCAGAGCGAGTGACTCACCCAAGATGCTCCGAGGGCGGGCAGGGGATTGCCAGAGGTGGTTCAAGTTCACGTGCAGGCTGCAGGTGCGGGCAGGGTGAGGAAGCCCCAGGACCAGCCCCAGGGCGCTGGGACAGGAGCAGCCGCTGTCAGCGTGTGATCTCAGCAGTGACTCAGGCCGGGGACTGAGATGGGCATACTTATTTCTGCCAGGGGATGATCTGGGTGGATGCTGTTTGCAGTGGACAGCATCCTGTGACAACGGGTCAGTAGGACGGCAGAGACTCAGAAGACGCAGCCTGGCCCTGGGAGGCGCTTGGTTTCCTGGAGGAGGGCACTCTGGGAGCTCCACAGCCACGGCTGTAGCCGCGGGCTGGACGTCGGCCAAGCAACAGTCGCCGACTCTGCCCTGGTCAGCGGGAGCCCGTGCCTGGCCTCCGTCCCCCGACGGTGGCTACTTCCTCCATGCGTCCTCTGTGCCAGCAGCCCGGTAGTCAGAGACGTCAGCCAGGGAGGTCATCTTGGTAGTTTAGCGTCTCCCGCGGTGGCAAAGCATTCGAGTTTTGGTGTTGGTTTGTCACGTGGCCACGTTGTATCCTTGCCACAGTGATACAGGGAAAATCTCAGACACACAAAAACATGGAGAGAAGGGGCTGGCTCTGTGGCATAGCGGGTAAAGCCGCTGCCTGCAGTGCCGGCATCTCATGTGGGCACTGGTTCAAATCCCGGCTGCCCCTCTTCGATCCAGCTCTTTGCTATGGCCTGGGAAACCAGCAGAAGATGGCCCAAGCCCTTGGGCCCTGCACCCGCATGGGAGACCCGGAAGAAGCTCCTGGCTCCTGGCTTTGGATCGGCGCAGTTCTGGCTACAGCGGCCATTTGGGGAGTGAACCAACGGAAGGAAGACCTTTCTCTCTCTCTCTGTCTACAACTCTACCTGTCAAATAAGTAAATGAATAAATATTAAAAAAAAAAAAAAAAGACAAAGACAAATACAAAGTATACATTGAGGCAGGAGTGCAGGCAACCTCAGGAGAAAATGAGTATTGCGACAGAGGTGGTGCCGGGGTAGGCCTAATTGAATATTCAAAAGGGGCGGGGTCTGGGGCGGGGTTGCAGTACACATGGTGACCTCCAGGAAGCATCTTGGTGTCTGGTGCATGATGGGAGGTGAGGCTCCGGGCGGGGGAGTGGTGTGCTGAGCTGCAGCCATGTTGGATTGGCACGGAAGGGGGTGTGGTTTGGGTGGTGCAGTCCTCGGCTCCTCTTCTGCCTCTGCCTGTGCCAACATCGGTCATTCCCTCTGTAAAGATTTATAGATGTTGTGGTGCAGCGGGTAAGCTGCGGTCAGTGCCAGCACCATCCCACAGGAGCGCCAGGCTCAGTCCCGGCTGCTCCACTTCTGATCTGGCTCCCTGCTAACGTGCCTGGGAAAGCAGAAGATGGCCCATCTGCTTGGGCCCCTGCACCCACCTGGGAGACCCGGATAGAACTCCTGGCTCCGGATTAGCCCAACTCTGGCAGTTGTGGCCATTTGGGGAGTGAACCAGCAGATGGAAGACCTCTCTCCCCTCCCCCCACTTCCCTCTGTGTAACTCTTTCAAACAGCTAAATCTTTAAAGAAAATAAAAAACCCGGCATTTGTAATTCTCCCTTAGTCTCTTTCAGTGTTTAACTGAAGAAATCGAGTCACTCATTGTAGCTTCCTCCCGTCTGGGTTTGGGGACTGCACTGCCGTGTTACTGTTGGGGGCCCGGGCAGGGGGAGAGGGGTCCAGGTTCTTGGCACTGAATACAGAGAAGACTTCAGGGATGGGACACAGCCCGAGGCCCGTGGGAGGAGGGATTTGTGGACAGAGCAGGTGTGGCAGCTTTCTGATTTGTTAGGTTTCCCGGTTCAGGGCGGTGCCCTTTCTGATGGGAGGGCCCCAGGATCTGCAGGAGTGGTTGCGAGTGTTGCATGAGAATATTAAGTCATCTCCTAGGTGAGTTTTTACTTTTTTAAGATGTATTGATTATTTACTTTGATAGAGAGAGAGAGATGGAGAGGGAGAGAGAGGGAGAGAGAGAGAGAGAGAGAGAGCGAGAGAGAGAGCGAGCGCGCAAGCATGCTTCCACCCACTGGTTCACTCCCCAGATGGCCACAATGGTCAGGGCTGGGCCAGGTTGAAGCCAGGAGCCCAGAGCTTCCTCCAGGTCTCCCATGTGGGTGCTGGGGCCCAAGCTCTTGGGTCATCCTCTGCTGTCCCTTGTGGGCCATCAGCAGGGAGCTGGGTTGGAAGTGGAGCAGCCAGGACTCCCACCGGCACCCACATGGGGTGTCGGGGTCCCAGACGGCGGCTTTACCGCTACAGCGCAGTGCTGGCCCCTGGTCTGTAAATCTCTGAGCGTCCTGAGCGCACTCTGGTGCGGCTGCCGTTTCCGGGTGGCTTCTGGGGGCCTGGTGGTTCCTCTCCTTCGACGGCCATTGGTGACCCTTGCTAGATTCACAAGGGCTTGCAAACCAGCGGCAGCCGTGCCACACGGCTACTGCTTCTTTATTAGCCTGCCTGCTTCTACCCAGCAAAAGTCATGGACCGCTCCGTGACCCTCGCCGTGGGAGGGGGACAGTGTCGGTTCTCCTCCCGTTTGCACGAGGAGCCCCCTCCTGCCGAGGTAGCTGCCAAGTGCAGGCTCCCTTCTCACACAAACCGGTGCCAAAAAGGCTGTGCCATCCTTGGGTTGGCTGATTTAAGGGATTGAGATGACGTCCAATCAGCAGGGCAGAAAGGGTTTTGGAAATACACACTTTTGATTGGTCTATGAGAGTTGGGGTTGACAACCAATCAGAGAGACAGGGATTGAAACTGTATCCAATCAGCAAGCGATGTGTCTCCTTGCTTATCCCCAGGGTCAGGGGCACCTGTCTGGCTAGCTCTAACACCCTTCCTCGCCCACCCTTCAGGATGAAGCCAAGTGCTGGCAAAGGCGGCCCCCAGGAGTAAGTGGGCACTTCGTCCCCTGCTCTGGGAGGGACCTTACGTAACTGGTATTAACCATCCAACTCCTCTCAGCCTCCCAAGGCGGGAACCTCTTGGACCCTGCCCCATGTGCAAAACCTGAGTTCAGGGGAGTCCATGATTGTGGGGTGACTGCCGACCGGAGGGGGGCAGAAGCAAGCGATACCAGGGCACTTCACAAAGCCGGGAGAGGGGCGGAGATTGGGCCTAGCAGTTAAGATGCCCGTCTCCCACACTGCAGAGCCTGGGCCAGTTCCTGGCTCCCACTCTGTGCAGCTTCCTGCCAGGCAGAGAGAGACTAAGAGAGAGCTCGCATCTTCTGGTTCTCTCCCAGATGCCCACAGCAGCCCTCGCTGGGCCGTCCACAGCCAGGTCGCCCACAGGGGTGGCAGGAACCCGGTCACGTCAGCCGTCGCCACTGCCCCCCAGGGTCTGCATGAGCAGAAGCTGGAGCTGGGAGTCGAACCCAGGCTCTCTGATATGGGACACAGGTATCCTAACCACTAGGCTCTCCGATATGGGACACAGGTATCCTAACCACTAGGCTCTCTGATATGGGACACAGGTATCCTAACCACTAGGCTCTCTGATATGGGACACGGGTATCCTAACCACTAGGCTCTCTGAAATGGGACACGGGTATCCTAACCACTAGGCTCTCTGATATGGGACACGGGTATCCTAACCACTAGGCTCTCTGATATGGGACACGGGTATCCTAACCACTAGGCTCTCTGATATGGGACACAGGTATCCTAACCACCAGGCTCTCTGATATGGGACACGGGTATCCTAACCACTAGGCTCTCTGATATGGGACACGGGTATCCTAACCACTAGGCTCTCTGATATGGGACGCAGGTATCCTAACCACCAGGCTCTCTGATATGGGACGCAGGTATCCTAACCACTAGGCTAAATGCCCCGTCCCTAAGGGAGGGGAGGGTGTGTGGCACACACTGAGCTGCTGCTTGCGATGCCCACTCCACTGTTCACTTCCCGAGCTGCTGCAGTGGCCCAAGCCAGGAGCCTGGGTCTCCATCCAGGCCTCCCACGTGGGTGGCAGGGGCCAGCCTCGCTGCCTCCCGGGTGCACTAACGGAGCTGCATGGGACGTGGAGCAGCTGGGACTTGAGCCGACACTCCAACATGGGTGCCAGCACGGCTTAGCCCACCGCACCATGACGCCGGCTCCCCCTGGCCCAGCCCTGGCTGCCCAGGGCATCTGGGGAGTGAACCAGCGGATGGAAGATCTCGGTCTCTTTTTGTCTTCCTCTCTCTGTCATTCTTTCAAACAAAAATTAAAAAAAAAAAAAAGGTATAAAAAAACCTGCAGATTTTTTAAAAAATCAGGAAGTTCGTGAGGAAACAAACCACAAGGAGTGAGTCAGCAGAAACGACACAGGCCAACGAAGCATGAGTCAGCAGAAACAACACAGAACAGGAGAGCCAGAGACAGCGCAGGAAATAGAATGACAGGACACACGCTGGAAAAAGCATCTCACACGCTCAGAGAAGTGAAAAAGACACTGACAAAAATGGTGACAGAATAAGAACTAACAAAATGAAGCCGGGATATCCGAGGATGGATTAGATGAAGCTTCTAGAAATGAAACTGCGTCACTTACAAGCTTCGAAAGACACGTCAAAAAGCAGAACAGAAAACACTGAAGAGAGAATGGTACATTGAAAGATACAGCCTCGGGGCCGGCGATGTGGCGCAGCGGGTAAAGCCGCTGCCTGTGGAGCCGGCATCCCACATGGGCACCGGTTCTAGTCCCGGCTGCTCCTCTTCCAATCCAGCTCTCTGCTGTGGCCTGGGAAAGCAGCAGAAGATGGCCCAAGTCCTTGGGCCCTGCACCTGCGTGGGAGACCCGGAGGAAGCTCCTGGCCCCTGGCCCCTGGCTTCGGATCAGTGCAGCTCCAGCTGTTGCAGCCATTTGGGGAGTGAACCAGCGGATGGAATACCTCTCTCTCTCTCTGCCTCTCCTTCTCTCTGTGTGTAACTCTTTCAAATAAATAAATAAATCTTAAAAAAAAAAAAAAAGAAATATAAAGCCTCAGGAATGACCAAGAAATCAGCAAAGACAAAACAGGTACAATATGAAAGAGAAGTTGGGGGCCTGGAAGAAGTTCAGCTAACCCTCAACTCCTGGGACTGGGCCCAGCCAGAGCCAGGAGGCCCGAACTCCACCAGGGCCTCTCTCGTGGCGGCAGGGACCGAAGCACTCGTGCAGCTGGGATGGACCCAGGCGCTCTGGTGTGGGTGCCCAAAGCAGTGCTCCACAAAATGGGAAACTTACAAACAGTCTCATTTATAATGGCATAAAAGCATGAATATTTGGTACAAATCTAACAAAACGGCGGTGAGGACCGGGGGTGTGGGTTGCGGGTTATCCACCACCTGGGGCGCTGGCATCCTCCATCGGAGCACCCCTTCAAGTCCCCGCTGCTCTGCTTCTGATCCAGCTCCCCGCTGGAGGCACCCAGAAGGCAGCAAGAGGTGGCTTAAGTAGCTGGGACCCTGCCACCCACATGGGAGACCCTCATGGAGCTCCTGGCTCTGGCTGCAGCCTGGGTCAGCGCTGGCCGATTGCTGTGACCATCTGGGGAGTGAACCAGTGCAGGGGAGACTGCTCTCTCTCCCTGTCACTCTGCCTTTCAAATAAACAATAAAAAAATCTTTAAAAATATTTTCTTTAAAAAGAGACTAGAAAAAAAAAAAAACCTGTACGTTGTATTGCATACACACAAAAGCTCTGCTGTCCGAAACCCTCTGGGAGGTCAGTGCAGAGCCTGCGGAGGACTGGCTCCGGAGCTCACTCGGAACTCCCAAGGTCAGCGACAGGACGGGAGCGTCCGCTGTCCCGGCTTGCAGAGGCTGGGAGACACTCGCCCAACACACGTGCAACGCAGGACACTACAAAAAGCAGCTGTAGTGAATTCTCCCAAGATTCCGCTGCCCCAGGGGACAGGGGACTTCCGGGGGAGTTTCTTGTCCCAGAGCAGCGCTTCCGGCTCTCTCCCCGCTCCCAGTTCCTCAATGTGGTCCCTCCAGATATGGGCCTCCGACCACTTCCTCCTGGTGACCGCTCCTGATGGGAGAGCCAGACATGCTGACCCAGACACCGCACAGGGCGTGACCTGGGGAGTGCATGCCCGCTGTCCGCGCCCGAGCACACAGGGTACCAGCTCCCGGGAAGCCCTAGAGCCCGACAGCCCGCCGTGTGCAGGCCTCCTCTCTCTCGCCCTCCCGCCTCCCCCGCCCCCTTGGGCCTCCCTAGAAGACCCCCCCCCCCGCCTCTGCCTCTCTGTACGTCTTTCAAATAAATAAATCTTTTAAAAAATTATTATTTAGAAGTCAGAATTACAGAGAGAGGGAGAGACAGAGTGCTCTTCCATCCACTGGTTCTTCGAGTGGTTGCACCAGCCGGAGCTGGGCCTGTCTGAAGCCAGGAGCTTCTTCCGGGTCTCCCACACAGGTGCAGGGGCCCAAGGACTTGGGCCATCTTCTGCTGCTTTCCCAGGCCACAGCAGAGAGCTGGATCAGAAGTGGAGCAGCTGGGACTTGAACTGGTGCCCACATGGGATGCCAGCGTCACAGGTGATGGCTTTACCTGCTACTCCATACACCAACCCCAGTCAATAAATCT